GCGTAATATACTATTTTTTGGTATTATTACATTTTATACTTTTTTGCAGTTGCTTATTACTTATAGCTTTTTTTTCATGTTCTATACTCTACAATTAATGTTGTTACTTTTATAAGGGTGATGTGTAATATACTATTTTTCAGCATTTTTACTTGTTATACTTTTTTTGTAGTTATTTATTCTATATCACTATTTTTTCATATTCTCTATTTTATAATTATTGTTTTTCTTTTTTAAGTTTAATGCATAATATACTATTTTTCTGTATTTTTACATTTTATACTTTTTTGCAGTTGCTTATTATTTATCGCTTTTTTTTCATGTTCTATGCTCTACAATTAATGTTATTATTTTTTTAAGGGCTTGCTTATTTTTTAGCACTTTTTTCATGTTCTGTACGCTGCAATAATGTTGTTACTTTTTTAAGGGTAATGTACTATTTTTTCCCATTGTAAACCTTTTTTTTGCAATTATTTATTGCAATTTTTTCATATTCTATAATTAATGTTATTTTTTTAAGGTTGCTGTGTAACATACTATTTTTCCAATATTCTGCCATTTTATACTTTTTTTTTGCAGTTATTTTTTGCTATTTTTGCAAATTCTTTAATTTAGTGTTATTTTTTTTTAAGGTTACTGTTTAATATACCATATTTTTCGCTCCATAAGACGCACCTAGGTTTTAGAGGAGAAAAACAAGAAAAAAAAATATTCTGAACCAATGGATTGCAGACACAGTACAGGGGATGACCAGAGACTGCAGACACAGTACAGGGGATGACCAGAGACTGCAGACACAGTACAGGGGATGACCAGAGACTGACCAGTAGACTGCTGCGGACACAGTACAGGGAATGACCAGAGACTGCAGACACAGTACAGGGAATGACCAGAGACTGCGGACACAGTACAGGGGATGACCAGAGACTGCGGACACAGTACAGGGGATGACCAGAGACTGCGGACACAGTACAGGGGATGACCAGAGACTGCGGACACAGTACAGGGGATGACCAGAGTCTGCGGACACAGTACAGGGGATGACCAGAGACTGCGGACACAGTACAGGGGATGACCAGAGACTGCGGACACAGTACAGGGGATGACCAGAGACTGCGGACACAGTACAGGGGATGACCAGAGACTGCGGACACAGTACAGGGGATGACCAGAGACTGCGGACACAGTACAGGGGATGACCAGAGACTGCGGACACAGTACAGGGGATGACCAGAGACTGCGGACACAGTACAGGGGATGACCAGAGACTGCGGACACAGTACAGGGGATGCGGACCAGAGGGACTGCTGGGACCTTTGGGGTGGGAGGGGGAACGGGTACCTGAATTTGACAGGCACCCGCTCCCACTTCCGCGGAGTTGTTCTTCCCTCTTCTTCCCGCGGCGGCTTCTGTGACAGCCGGGTGCCCACTGCGCATGTGCGAGAAGCTCCGCGCTTTGTGAATGACCCGGAGCCTTCTGGGACCTGTCATGTGTCCCAGAAGACAGCGGACCATTCACAAAGCACGGCGCTTCTCGCGCATGCGCAATGGGCACCCTGCTGTCACAGAAGCCGCCGCGGGAAGACTGCATCGCTGGAGCGAGGAACAGGTAAGGTCCTGCAGGAGAAAACAGCTGAGCGGCCGGGCCCAGTATTCTGACATGATGGCGGCAGAAATACCGGACCGGCTGCTTTACATTCGCTCCATAAGACGCACTGACATTTTCCCCCCTTTTTTGGGGGGAAAAAGTGCGTCTTCTGGAGCGAAAAATACGTTAATATTTTTCCAATATTTTTCCATTTTATACTTTTTTTTTTTTTTTTTACAATTATTTATTTATCACTATTTTTTCATATTGTAATCTTTAATTCTAATCTCTGATTTATAATTATTGTTTTTCTTTTTAAGTTTAATGTGTAATATACTATTTTTTCAGTATTTTTAGGTTTTATACTTTTTTGCAGTTGCTTATTATTTATTGCTTTTTTCATGTTCTATCCTCTACAATTAATGTTGTTATTTTTTAAGGGTTTGCTTATTTTTTATCACTTTTTTCATGTTCTGTACTCTACAATAATGTTGTTATTTTAATAAGGGTAGTAATACTGTAATATACTATTTTTCAAGATTTTTACATGTTATACTTTTTTTGCAGTTATTTATTATATATATCACTATTTTTTTCATATTCTATATTTTATAGTTATTGTTTTAAGTTTAATTTGTAATATACTATTTTTCATTATTTTTGCATTTTATACTTTTTTGCAGTTGCTTATTATTTATCGCTTTTTCATGCTCTATACTGTACAATTAATGTTATTTTTTTAAGTGTTTGCGTATTCTTTATCGCCTTTTGTAATCTTCAATACTCCTATAATTAATTATATTTTTTAAGGGTTTGCTTATGCTTTAGCGGTTTTTTTCATATTCTGTATTCTACAACTACTGTTATTTTTATAAGGGTAGTGTGTAATATACTGTTTTTCAACATTTTTAC